AATAATCTCACTGGTGCTACATTTCAGAATCAGCAGAAAAGTCAAATCACTCCAATACACAGAATGCCAAAAATAGAAAATGTACGTTTAAATTGTCTCCTAAAGGTAACGTCCTCTTGTACATTAGTCAAAACATTACATCTGTAACCCTGTTATGAGCTGTAGACAACTGTCTTCCACCATTGTTGAATTCTCTGCTTCCTTGGAAAAGAACAATTTCTTCAGTATTTTCAAGCTAACATCAGGAAGAATGGCAGCACTCTACAATCAGTGGGTACCTTATCTCCTCTTGTATAACTGAGCTCTCTGCCCCCCACCCCCAGCCAGCACATCCTTGTCAATCACCACCCCCAACACAAAAGCTCTGGTGCTCCTTTTAGATCAAGGGGAAAGATCTCTTCAGACTTACAGCCTTCTGATGTTGAGCAATACAGTACAGTTCTGAATGACATGGCTCCTTGATTAAATATCTGCCAAGAGATAAATGGAACCATCCTAATTTATGGGATTATTTATCTTTTAATATCTCTATTTATAATCTTTATGTATTCATAAAAGGATATTACAAAGCAACTAATAAATGAATGATGAAAGAAAATCAAAGACTAAATCTAAAATGAAAGAAACAGCAAAACACATTAGAAGAGGCCAAATGACCCATGTGGTACAAACACATTAGCCAGCTCAGCAACACCAAAAGGACTGAAAAGCCACAGAAAGCAAAAAATATGGGGAAAGAAAGGAAAATTTATGGCATAGGCATGTAAGGCTGCCAACTTATCGATGATGTGACAAGTGATAGAAGTAGCAGGATGAATTCTGTACATGTGTACACATCTACAGGGCTGTACTCTCCTCTGTTTTAGCCAAATGCTGCGAGCCTGATTATATGGTGATTCAAGGTGCAAATGGATAATGACCCAAAGCATTTTCTCAAAGCAGAGAACTGAAATATTCTCCAGTGTCACGTCAGTCCCCTAAGCTCAACTCAACACAGCATGCGTTTGAGTTGTTAAATACCAAACTAAATGCAGAGAGCTGCACAAAGAAGCAGTAAATGTTTGGCTGGCAGAGCGTTTCACAGTTCTAGACTGTTGAAAATGGGGGGCTATGTACAAAAATAGCTGTAATTGCTAAAGAAATAATTATGGACCGTAAAATACAAAAAACAAGTCAGCAGGTGGGGCTGTTCTGTAGCAGTAGGTACCAGGTACCTTTTAACCTACTTCTATGTGTATTGTCTTAAGACAAACAACTCTACATTTCCACTAATCTATAAAACAGGGCTTTGCCTTGCATTAGATTTTAAAAATACTAAGAGCAAAAGAAGATTTTAAGCTTGGTATTAAGGCTTAAAATATGGTTCTGCACCGTGTTTTATGGATAGCACAGAACATTTGGAATCTTAAACTATGCAATATTTCTTATACAACAGATAAGAAATAACTGTCTTGTCCTTCCCTAATCGCCCACACTTAGATTGCAAGTCTTCATTTGAAGTAGTTCACCAAACAGTGGATAATGCTTAACATCCCTAAAGAGGTGCCTGCTTCTCACTCTAATGTACACTGTTTATTCATGCGCCATTTGAATGCTGGTAATTGCTAGCAAGATCAGAAAGCTTCCTGCTTTCAGTGACTCCTGCTACTGACACCCAAACTTCCGGATGCAGTGTAAGGTGTATGTTTCTCTCCTGGCCCTGACTCCTGACCCGCAGCCAGCAAGGGAGCTGACGTGCTGCTCTCTGGCATTGGTTAGCCTCCTGCTGCTCAGTCAAATGAGTCTGCAGTGGACATCATGCATCTGAAACAATCAGCAAGCTAACCAGTTGGTCCTCATGATTCTAATGAGCTGTATTAGGTTCCTTATCCCTCTATCATCGAAAGGTCACGTTATCAGATTTTTACAACCCAATGCTGATCAATGCCAAGCATAGGGAGCTTGGAGAGGTTTTCTACACTAGAATAATTTTTCTCAGCACTACATTTTGCATATATATATAGTTTAAAAAAAAAAGAAGCAGAAGTACAAACAAATTACATCGTGCACTTTTCCAAATACTTATGGACTAACGAAAGAAATCAGCAGGTGGTGCTGCGGATTAGGTATCCACTGAACCTGCTTTATGTGTAACATCCAGAGGCAGACCAAACTAAGTTTCTAGAGTAATCTAAGTAAGAACTAATATTTCTAAATTTGACAAATTAGCACTTTTGGGGTAAAAGAAAACTGTATACACCACTTATGTATAACACTTAACATCTCCAAGCAAGCACCCGTTTTCCACTCTGACGTATGCGGTTGTTTCGTGTGATGTTTATGTGCCAGTGCTTACTTGGAGGTTCAGTATTGGTGTCAAGCCTGTGTGTTTTAGTTCTGATGTTCCTGAAAAAAATATTTTGCTGTATGCACATTGGTTAATTTGTTTTATTATTTTTAGTAATAATAAAAATATTAGGAGTAATAGTAATATTATGCAACTGCAGTTTATACGGTACTATACTGTAGAACAAGGGAGTCCACATGTTTTTAACCATAATGAAATGCAGAAAATGCTGAGAGGTTAATGCTCACAAACACTGAGATTTTAAATTTATTACAGATTTTTCTAATTTAGTTATAGTTTTTTTTTCCATCTTATAATCTATACACAAGAAACCATAAGCCATCTTATTTAGCTTTATGAGAATGATTACTCTAGTAACTGTTTTACCAAATTTAAAGACTAACTCATTTCAGTTGAAGCAGTAAAAGAATTATCAGCCTTCTTCCTGGAATGTGTAGTCATATTTACATTCAACAGGTGCCACACTGCATCTACAATCTTGTACCATTTTATCTGAGTTGAATCTATATTTTCTATATATAATCTATATACTTTTTTTTTTAATTAAAATTGATCTAAAATCAAAATTCACAGCTGTGAAAACACACTACAACATAGGTTTCTTCACTGCTGCAGGTTTCTCCCTACGAGGATACATGTTTACATTTAAAGTAGGCGAGGATGTGATGATGGTATCACTCAGCAAACCTGTCCAGCAGGTTTTGCAGTTTCTGTTCCTGTTTTATGACCTCTCCTGTTACATCTCTCTCTCTGTCATTCTTTGTCTCACCTGCTTCTCAGAAACGAGGTGAGCAGCAGGGCGTTGCACGTCCTAGACCAGGTTTAAATAAAGGAGTGGCTTTTTCACCTTGTAATTCCCTGCTGTTTTTTTTCCCTCTTTACCTGAAATCAGACAGAAAATCTCCCTTGTAATGTTTAGAAGATTTTCAATCTTTAGGTAAAGCAAGACAAATTTTCAGTTAAATTAAATGAAAATTATTTTTACTAACTTATTGACAGCATAATAAAGGCTTGATTAAAGTGTCTCAGAACTCACTTGTAAGACACAGTATCTGATAACATGAAAACTCAGCAGTGACACACAATCAGTGACCACCGATTGACCAGTGTTGTGCTCTAAAGGTATCCAAATACCTGGCACGATTCAGGAAAACAAAATAGACTTAAATGTCCAGAAAGCATCCTTCTACAAACAAATTAATCTATACTTTCAATCACAGGTGGTAAACAATACCGAGTTCAATGGCCACAACAGATCATTTTGCTTACATCTGATGTATTATACACACAAAAAATGTAGCTGTGAATGTGAGCTCTTGTTGCAGGGAAATGAGACCATCTGTATGTAATCATCTGTATGTGGGCTTGCATTGAAAACAGTGAATGTGTTGCTTCTGAGGATGACTAAACATTAATTTTTTCTTGGATTTCTTTCAATATTCAACAGGCTAATTCATTGCTGTTCACTTCAAGGCTTGTATTACTTGTAATACTTAGTCTAGTTACTCCAGGCTTTATTTGGGTGGCCTTTGGATATTTTTATAACATAATTAGGACCCAAACCAATCTTATAAGAATTTTACAAGCTGCCACTGTATAGTAAGCAATCTGATAATCCGAAACCAGTATGATAACATTACAGGAATGCTGATAGCATCACAGATTTAAAGCTTTGTAAAAGAGGTGCACTGAGCAGTGTTTTCATTAGACAAGAGACGAGAGACGAAACTTTATCCTTCTTAACAATGCAAGCAAAATCTGAGATTTTAGCACTGGTCCTGGGCGCCCTGGGCTTATGTGGGACAATAGTCACCACTTGTCTGCCCCATTGGAGGGTTTCTGCCTTCATCGGTGCCAACATCATCATCATGGAGGAGCTCTTGGAGGGCTTGTGGATGAACTGCTACCGACAGGCTAACATCAACATCCAGTGCAAGGTGTATGACTCGCTGTTAATTCTCCCACCAGAGCTGCAGGCAGCGAGGGGGCTCATGTGTGTCTCCGTAGTCCTGGCTTTCATCTCGTTGTTGCTCACAGGATTCGGGATCCAGAAGAGCAGCTGTTGTGGTGACAATTTAAAGAGTAAGAATATCACCTATGCATTAGGAGGGAGTCTGTTTCTACTTTCCTTTTTGACCACACTCATCCCCGTAAGCTGGGTGGCCCATACTGTCATCAGTAACTTCTATAACCCGATAACGATGGAGGCTCAGAAGCGGGAGCTGGGATTGTCCCTCTTCATTGGCTGGGCCACTTCTGGTGTTTTGCTAATCACCGGGATCATTGTGCTGTTTAGGTACAGCAAACGCAGTGCAAAGGAAGATCAGCGCTACATTGAAGCATATCATATGGTGGAAAGGAATGAACAGAAGGCGGACAGTGTTGACTTTTCGAGAGCGAAATCTAGTTTTCATGCAAATCAGGAATATGTGTAAATAACTGTACTGCAGTGTACTAATTGCATATTAGATGTCTCTCCATATATTTATGAGCAACATGTATTTTATTTGCAATGATATATTTAAATCAATCATGTAACCATGTTCTATTGTACTATGCATTTGTCTTGTCTGCACAGTTTGGTGTACAGATGCAGGAAAAATATTTGGTCAATATGCTGTACATGAATAAACAACAGTGCCTGTGTTTAAAGTAATATAATTTTTGGCAAATCTATATTATCACCGATCAACTTCAATCTTAATGCAGCTCTTACTCCAATGACCCTGAGAATGTCATCACTGTTTTTAAGTACTTTTTTGGCTGAAAGTCTGTATTTTCTGTATTTATTTAAGTCATTTTTGTTGTGCTTAATGATGAATTTCTCATCTGAGACATGACAAATGCAACTGCTTCACTGTCTTATTTCATTATATTTCATGATCTAATAATCCCGCCAACCAAGTGAACAGATAATTTATTAAAATCTTTAATTCAGTTTGTTTGTGTGATTCAATTCATAGAATTTCTACTTTTTTGTGGAAAGCAAATACTTAACCAACACTCCATTCAGGTATTTTTCTTGTACTAAAAACCTAAAGTGGAAAAGTAAAAACAGCCAATGAAGAAGTGCCTCATTTTCACATTTGACAGAACAGAAACTAAAATGTTTCCGTGGCTGCAACAAGGGAACGACCTCGTGTGATAATGACAAAAGGCCCTCCCCCTCAGGTTTCTGTGTGCGACACCTTTTCATCAGCTCGTCTTACGTGTAGAGAAGCAGTGCGTTTCACATCTGTGATCATTCACCCATCAGCTTTTTGTTTGTGAGATGGAGTCGTTTCCTACGCCCATTAGTGTAGTTGGATGCTACAGTTGTTATATTTGTTTTATTCATTCTTTGAACATTTATAGCAAGTCTTTTTTATCTGGCAAATCCTTTCAAATGATAAAACTGGCAACACATTGCATTACTTAAATTTAAGTTAGCACATGTAATAGTACTGAGATATTACATTGTATGTTCACAATACATTTTCCCTATGCTAAATGTTCTCTAAAAAGTATTTCCGTGTAGTATTCAAAAATATGTTACATACTTTTCATTAACTTTGACTTTTTTGCTTGATTTTTTTTTAAAATATGATGTTGATTAAACCTTGTTGTTACTGTGGTAACAAGATTTAGTGATTTTTAATAACTAAAAACTAACGACTGATCCTTAGTACTGGAGGTATTCAAAACAAGCAGCACTCCTTTGTGTCTCGCCATTTATCTGATGGCTCTGAAGCAGCTTAACCAGTAAGGCTGCATTGCATCATTAGCATAGTTTTTGTGGGTGTATAAGTTCCTCAACTTGTTGTTCTCCTCAGATTTTTCTCTTCAGCTGTATAAGTGCACCAGAAGGTTGAGATTAAGCTTTCTGTGTTAACCGGAATGGCCACTTACACTGCTTACAGTGGCTACAGCAAGCCACCTCAATCTTATGTTGGCAGTTACTACGATGGGAAGCCGGCGCTGACAAATGGAGAGTACGGAGAGTATGGGGACTCTGTATATGAGGAAAAGAATAAAATTCAAAAACGGAAGCAACGAAATGCTATCTGCTGTGAGGTAATAGCTCTCATCATTGGATTCATTGGACTAATTGGCGTTGCCGCTGTGACGGGCCTGCCGATGTGGAAGGTAACAGCCTTTATTGAGGAGAACATTATTGTCATGGAGACCCGCTGGGAGGGTTTGTGGATGAACTGCTACAGACAAGCCAACATCAGAATGCAATGTAAAGTGTACGATTCCCTGCTGTTTCTGCCTCCTGATCTCCAGGCTGCCAGGGGTCTGATGTGCAGCTCTGTGGCTCTGACCACCTTCGCCCTTATTGTTTCAGCAGTGGGGATGAAATGCACAAAAGTGGTGGACCACCGGGCTCGTACCAAGCATATTGTTCTTGTGGCTGGTGGCTGCCTGTTCCTCATGGGTTGCCTTACAACCATAATTCCCGTGTCCTGGACTGCCCATGTCATCATCCAAGATTTTTACAACCCTCTACTGATCGATGCCCAGCGTAGAGAGCTCGGGGAGGCCCTTTACATTGGCTGGGTGACTTCAGCGTTGCTTTTCAGTGCCGGAGTGATCCTGCTTTGCCGCCATGCTCCCCGCACCCAAGATCCAGATGAGAGGTTTCAATACAACCCCACAGGAAGCTTCTACCAACCCGCATACACCAACCAGCCAGCATACACCTACCAGCCAGCATACACCTACCAGCCTGCTTACTCTGCAGCCCCACCAGGATCTGTGATATACACACCAAGTCAATACTAAAGATTTTTGGACTTTTTTTTAAAATAAACTTGCCAAAATTTGGCACATTTGATGAGGAGAACTGATTAACTGTCGTTCACTTGAAACAACCAGATATTTCTTTACTTATCAAAGTGTACTGCAAATACTCCGAATCATTATGGACTTGAATGTGTTTCGATGCTGACAAACTGCTGGATTTCTATATTCCTTGTTTGGGGTTTTTTTTTTTTTTTAACCCTTTTGCTTAATTCACACTAAATTATATTCTAGCACAGCATGTGTAATCTATTACATCTGTTAATGTTACAACAATTGCATGTTGATATTGCGTTCTTTACAGTTTCTGACTTGCTCTCCAAGAACAAATTGTCAACTAGGCCTTTTTTCAGATTGTAAACCAGTGATTTGTTTTCAACACTGTTATAAATTAAAATATTACATACACGTTTTTTCAAAATGCTGGCCAAAATATCTGGCCAAATTAATTTTTTTCCTAATAAAGTAAATGGCTTGTAAAAGACAATCTTGTTGTATTTTTTTCCCCAATGTCAAACACAACAGTACATAGCTGATCAAGAAGTTAAAGGTGCGCTATAATGTAAGCAGTGTTTCAGTGCTGCCAAATGATCTTAAATTTGTTGTAAATTTCCAAAACCTCCAACTGAAACTGCACTTTCTTCACTCACTAGTGAGCAAATGGAAATATATGTCATTTCTATTGTAGTGTGTGGAAATGTGCCTAAACTGGTAAAACCAGGCTGTTTACACAGATCCACCCACTGTACAAACCTACCAGGTGACTTTATTTCAACCAAACAGGAATTGGTTGCTTTTTTTTTACCTGAGAGCAGTGACATAAGAGACCCAGACAAGATATCCAGTACTGACAGTCATACATGTGTAACATGTGAGACCCTTAAAGCAAACCAAAATATATAAGAATATTTAAAAAAAAAAAAATACAAACGCACACATGCACACACACGTACAAATTGTTTCCTTTTCACGGTACTTCTAAAATGTACTTATCAAATGTATAAAAAAAAAAGTTGAATATTTGTCATAATTTGCCATACTTTGTACTTTTTTCCCGCCGTTCTACTACTACTCATATTCTGTTAAAACTGCACATCTCTCATATCTTTCATATACACACACAGAGGCAGACTTCCCCCGACCCACTGTTTGTCTTGTCTGCTGCTCCTGTCTTTAACAGCGTGCTTTACAAAAATGGGGGACAAAGAGTTTTGTCCATTGCTGTTATTTTGTGTCTCCAGTTCCCCTACATGCCCATGTACCATGAGGCCCTCCACAATAGCAGTAAATGATTAAAAATAAAGATGAAGTAATAAACAGGAAGTGAATCAGAACTGATTTTTGATCAGTAACTATAACTGGTAATACATTAACAGAGTATGTTTACCAGTGATACACTTGACGATTCTGAACATGCCCCCATTGTTAAGAAACACCTCGTCGTTTTGTCTTCTTTTAAGCCGAAGTCCGAGAATGTAAACTGAGACTTCTGAGTAAACAAAGGGGGAAGCTTAGAGCAGCTACTGGGTTGCTGTACAAAGAATTAAAGGCCCAATGGATTCAGTTTCCTAGCAACATGTCACAATTCCCACTACCTCCCATTCTGGTGTTATGTCCACAGGGAGGAGGGTGTACAGGTGAACATGAACCTGCTCCTCCTCCATCGGGATGCAAAGCCACTCCACAGAGAAAACCTACTGCTTCCTACAGCAGTCACACTGTGTCCGCACACTATTGCTCTTCTGAGCTTGGATGAGTAAGTGAAGAACAGGATGGCAAACTCAGCACTGGAGATTGTGGGTCTTTTAGTATCCCTAATCGGGCTGATCGGTGCAGCAGCAACTACAGGAATGCCTATGTGGCGCGTCACAGCCTTCATTGGAGACAATATCATCGTGTTTGAGACTCTGTTTGAGGGCTTGTGGATGAATTGCTACCAACAGGCAAGCTTCAGGATGCAGTGTAAAGTCTACGACTCTCTCCTGGCCCTGACTCCTGACCTGCAGGCGGCAAGGGGGCTTATGTGCTGCTCTCTGGCACTGAGTGGTCTTGGTGTGCTGATCAGTCTGATAGGCATGCAGTGCACATCGTGCATCCAAAACAATGATCGAGCTAAGCGGCTGGTTCTCATCATTGCTGGTAGCATGATCATATTGGGTTGCTTCTGTGTCCTCATCCCCGTCTCCTGGACGGGTCACGTCATCATCACCAACTTCTACAACCCCTTGCTGATCGATGCCCAGCGGAGAGAGCTTGGAGCAGCTCTCTACATTGGCTGGGTAACTTCGGCTTTCTTGTTTGCTGGAGGATGCATTTTTATTTGCTGTAATATACAGTCGGATGACAAAGATTCAGAGCGGTACCTATACTCCAAGGCCTCAGACTATTCGGTCTACCCTCAACAGCCACTACAGCCTCTACAGCCTCAACAACTGATGACGCTTCCCCAACCACGATCTCAGCCAATGCTATCAAGATACCCATCGTCTATCTACAGTTACCAGTCCAGATATCCCTCTGTACACAGTGCACACAGTGGGGTCGCGTTTCTGTAAACACTTTTTTTTTTTTTTTTTTTTTAATTGATCGGAAACTATGCATTTCAGGTTTAAGAGAAAATGTGTGTGAACCAATACACCATTTCTACTGCGTT